ATGTGTGTTCAGTTGTTCAGTTGTGTCCAACTCTTTGAGACCCCATGGACTGTAGCCCAGCAGGCTCCTCTGTCCATGGAATTTTCCAGACAAGAATACTAGAGTGGGTTGCCATTTCCTTCTCCAGGGAATCTTCCCAGTCCAGGGATGGAACCCACAACTCGTGCATCTCCTGCATTGGCAAATGAATTCTTTACCACCAGCGCCACCTGGAAAGCCCTTAGATAAAAATTTAAAACTTTATTAAAAAACTGCAACAGTCAAAGGATGGGGAAATAGGCTGATTGGTGCCACCTTCATGTAGGACAATATCTACAAATTATTACATGTATTCCCTCTCCCCCTTTTTATTTTAAACTGTGAAATTCATATAACATAAAATTAACCACTTTATGCTGAGCCTGTGCACCACACCTAGAGAGTCCATGCACGGCAATGGAAGATCCCACATGCTACAACTGAGATTCAAGTGAAGCCAAATTAACTAATTAAAACAAACAAACACTAAAGGGACTTCTTTGGTGGTTCAGTGGTTAATGAATCCACTTGCCAATGCATGGGACATGGGTTTGATCCCTGCTCTGGGAAGATTCCCACATGCTGCAGGGCAGCTGAGCCTGAGCACCACAACTACTGAATACTACCACCACCAACCCCTGCCTAGAGTCTATGCTCTGAAACAGGAGAAGCCACCGCAATGAAAAGCCTGCAGTGAACAGTAGGCCCCGCTGGCCACAACTAGTAAAAGCCTGAGCGCAGCAACAAAGACCTAGTGCAGCCAAAAATAATTTTTTTAAAAAAAGAGTTCGAATGACACAACCAAGTCCAGCACAATGAAATAAATAATACATTAAAAGATTAACCATTTTAAAGCGAACAATTCAGTACATTCACTATGTTGTGCAACCACCACCTCTATCTAATTCCAAAACATTATTTATCCCTCCAAAATAAAACTCTATATTCATTAAGCAGTTACTTCCAATTCTCCCCTACTCTCAGCGCCTGGCAACCATCAGTCTCCTCTCTTTTTCTATGGACTTACTTACTTTGGATATTTAATATGTTTAGTTGCTCAGTCATGTCCAACTCTTTGGCGACCCCATGGACTGCAGCATGCCAGGCTTCCCTGTCCTTCACTATCTCCTGGAGTTTGCTCAAACTCATGTCCATCGTGTCAGTGATGCCATCCAACCATCTTAGAGACATGAAATATGTGACATTTTGTGTACAGCTTCTTAATATAATTGTTTTGGAGGTTCATTTACCTTGTATCATGTATCAGCATTTCTTTCTTTTTAATGGCTGAATAGTATTACATTGGGCATATGTGCTACAATTTGTAGCACAATACTTGGGTTGTTTCCATCTTGGGGCTGTTATGAATAGTGTTGCTGTGAACAATGAATGCCTTTGATACCACAATTCTGTTACTAGGAACTGATCCTACCAATATGCCCACACAAAAAATTGTAAAGCAAAAAACAGAAAACTATGTAAATGTTCACACTGGGGGACTAGCTACATAAAGCCTGCATGTTTGCAGAGACTGCAAAGAAGTCTCAAGGAACAAGGCAGTTCTTTAAGAACTGATGCAAAAAAATAATAGTATTTTATATGAAAACTTCAGGTGCAGGATACAGTGTAGAGTATGCTGTCATTTGCATATATATATCTCCAACTCTTTGTGACCCCATGGTCTATAGCCCTCTGTCCATGGAATTCTCCAGGCAAGAATACTGGAGTGGGTTGCCATTCCCTTCACAGGGGATCTTCCTGACCTAGGGATCAAACCCAGGTCTCTTGCATTGCAGGCAGGTTCTTTACCATCTGAGCCACCATATAGATACACTTTTTTTAACCCATTCATTCATTGATGAACACAGGTTTTTTTTTTCATATCTTGGCTATTGTAAATAATGCTGCAACAAACATGGTGGGGCAGATATCTTTTTAAGGTAGTGATTTTGTTTTCTTCAGATAAATATCAAGAAGTAGAGTTGCTGGATCATACAGTGGTTCTATTTTTAATTTTTTTGAGGAACCACCATACTGTTTTCCATAGTGGCTGCACCAATTTAACCTTCCCACCAGCAGTACATGACAGTTCCCTTTTCTCCACATTCTTCCAGCACTCGTTGTCCCTGGTCTTACATGGTTTTGTTTTGTCTTGCATGATCTTGCACAGAATACCCTTGACATCTCTGGAAGGATTCACTAGAAACTAGTACCATTGTTTGACTTCAGGGAAGGAAACTGAGTCATAATGAAATATATTAAATATTTTAAATTAAATCTAAAATAAATCTTGTTAAAAACAGATATGGAATTCAACAAAAGCCATTTTCATTGTGAGTGAAAAAAACGCAGCCTAAAAATAGTTTTCCTTTCTCTAAGCTTGTTCCTTCCCCACCCTCCATCCCTCACAGGCTGGCTGAGTTAGCTGAGGAGAGGTCTCTGGCCAGAAGGGGGCAGGCTTGGGTTCATTCGAGCAGTTGGCAGAAGGGTGTCACTGGAAAGTGAGGAATTGCATATCCTTCAGGGAGGACTCAACCCAGAAACGAAGACAGACCCACCCCAAGGAACCTCACCTACAGCTTCAGACACTAGACACAGAAGAGCCTGCAGGCTTTTGAAGACAGAAAAAGGCAGATACAGGCCATTCCAAAGTCCAGGGAGTGACGGGGCACTGGATTTCAGCAGCAGTAACAGGCAAAAAACAATGAACAGAGCAGTCAGGAAGAATTCTGGACCGAAATATTAAATAAAAAGCAAAGGCAGGGACTCCCCTTCTCTGATGGTCCAGTGGTTAAGACTCCATGCTCCCAATGCAGGGGGCCCAGATTGCAAGGAAGACCCCACATGTACAACTAAGACCTGGCACAGCCAAACACATTTAAAAAAAAAAAAAGAAAGAAAAAGCAAAGACAGAATACAAGCTCTTCAGACTTAAAAAGGACCCAGAAAATGACCAGAATCCAGTCAACCTTTCTTAGACATACCTACCACTTTGCTGAAGCATCAGTCTTGGGATTCAGACAAGAGCGGAGGCACCCAGGAGCCTCCGGAGCCATAGGAGCCTGGGGTAGCACTGGATGAACACTCAGGCCCCCTTGGAACTGGGAGGATGGGATTGCCATCGGACTCTACCTGGTTCTGAAAACTCAAAATAGTTAAGGTGGGCAACAGACCACCTGTGACTCCTGGCTACCAGGAGCTTCTCTGAATACACCTAAGAGAACAGGATCTTCATCCACCCGGGCAGTCCGAGATGGTAAGTGTGGGGAATAGACTGTGTTTGCATTGTTGCCTCTGGTTTTAGACTTTAAAAGCCTCTGAGCCATTGGCTGATGGGATGAGGAGGTCACCCCACTGATAGAATTGGGTTTGCCCCACTGTGGGTCACTGGTGCATTTTGTCCCAATGACAGGTTGTAGCTCAGGTGTCCTTTGGAAAGCCTTCTCTTTGTTCCCTTCCCCTTTGAAGGCTGATTCAAGCACCATCCACCAGGACTTCCCCATCACTACAGGTGAGCAGCTCATTTCCATTAGTGCTCTTCTCTTGCTTGGGGTCTGACACACAACGTGGGGTCAGTAAATTAGCTCCTAGGCTAATTTAGCTTGGGAGTAAATTAGCTTCCAGGCTAGCTGGAACTGAGTTACTGGAGGGACAGCTTGCTGGGCACAGCTTCCCTGCCCCAGGAACCATACTCCGTGGGTGGGGGGAACTCCCAGTGGGGCAGGGCTGGCCTCCAGGAGGAAGTAAGGACCAATGAGCAAGTGCTGGGTTTAGGCATGGAAGCAAAGGTAGGGACTGCTCCTGTAGCGCCCCCCCTCCCCCCGCCCCTGCCCCAGGGCCCTGGGTTGTGGGGCCTCAGGGGCTTTGAGTGGTCAGGCCTGTCTTCCCAGAGGAGGAAAGGGGAAGAGAAATCCCCCGTGGGGGTTCTGAGTCAGCTGCACTGTCATAGTGGAAACAGCACAGCTTTGGGTGTCAGGACACTTCCCCTCTGTGGGCCTCAAGAGTCCTTGTTATGAGATGGAAATAACAGTCCTGCATAGGAAGTTGGGCTTCAGTGGCAGAGGGTGAAAAAGCACTGTGTTAACATGCAGGTGTGAAGGGGGACACAGCCGGCAGACCCCGTGGTGGTAGCAGCCAGGAGTTAAGAGGCTTACAGCATCTTGCCCCCAGCCCAGATGAAAGTCTTTTTTTCACTTCCGTTAGTCACAAGTCTGAACTCTGACTAGTTGGTCTTTTGGGGACCAAGGATTCTGTTTGCCCATCAGTCACTTAACATTCTAGTGAGGCCCCTGCTGTCTGTCCAGAGAGGACATCTTGATTGGAGGCACAGGGTTTACAAGACTTGGCCTTGAGGGTGGGAGTGGATGCTCAGGATAAGGAAGGCCAGGGTGACCACCAAGCCCCGTCTGAAAGGGGAGTGTGCCAGGGCAAGTGGGTGAGGCACGCAGGTCACCTGAGGGAACACTGTGCTCTGAGCCTCTTACTCAATGTGTCAGACGTGTGACACCTCCAAGTACATCTTGTTCCCATCTTGCCCTTGCGTAAGGTTCCGGGCTAGCAAGAAAAGGCCTGAGTCTCTGCCATGGACACTGATCCAGCCTGGAGGCCCCGGACCCCTCCAGCCTCCCTGGGCAGGGAGGAGGCACTTTCCCTTTCAGAGGCTCGGGCCCCACACGGGTGGGTGAACCTCGGCCTGCTCAGGTTCCTGGGTGAGCGGAGGCCAGCCTCTCTGTCTCTGCAGGCTCAGTGTTCCTGCCTGTAAAGTGGGGTTGATAACATCACTGGCTTGTCGGTAGGTTTGATGGCACCAGGCCGCGCACAGGCTCCCTCCCGGGCGACCGGGAGGTTGGGGTTTGGGGGCGTCGCCGCGCAGCCGGCTCCGCCCCGCCCCTGGCCCGCTTCCTCCTCCCGGGACGAGCGGGCGGTGCCGTCGGCCCAGCCTCCCGCCCAGCGCCCCGCGGGCAGCCCCCGGCCAACGCGCAATGTCAGCCGACTGGTTCCGGCGCCGCTTCCTGCCGAGGGGCCCGCTCCCCGCGCCGCGGCCACCTAGGCCCCGCGCCAGCCCCGTGCCCTACCGGCGGCCCCGCTTCCTGCGCGGCTCGGGCTCCAGCTCCGGCCCCACCGACGCCTCGCGCCGCCCGGACGCCCGGCCCGTGCGCAGCCCGGTGCGGGGCCGCTCGCTGCCCTGGAACGCAGGCTACGCCGAGTGAGTGCCTGGCCCCAAACGGGTCCCCGCCCGAACCTCCCCTCTCCCCGCGAGTCTTAGCCTGAGGCCGCGTCCCCCACCCCGTGATCCCGCCCGGGGTCCCGTGCTGACGACGGAGAAAACAGGCTCATCTGAGTGAAGGATCCCGCGCCCCCTACCTTGTGGATAACTCCCTCTGGTCCCTCCCACATCCCACCTCAGGTCGGGAAGGACCTGTCCCCTCAGCCCAAGAGCCTACCCCCTCAGGCTTCCAAAAGAGGTAGGGTCACTGGGCAGAGGTCCAGCGTTCTGGGCTTTGGAGAGTCCTCCCACTCCTCACACACACACATCTCACCCTGGGTTATGGCTGAGATAGGGCAGCCGATAGGCACCTGCCCAGGCAGCCTTGCCCTTACCTCCCAGCCCAGGACAGCAGGTAAGCTCCAGAAGGACTGAGTCCTGAGTTTTGCCTTTGCTGTGAGATCACTGAACAGTTTGCAAACTACCAGCATTTGTTTGTCCAGGTGTGTGTTAGGGACAGCACGGTGGCTATTGCTCCAGAGGGAGGGCTCCCTTCTATGTTTCAACTGTTCTCTGTGCCCATGGGGGCAGAGGTATGTCCCTAAAAGCGTCACTGATCATGTCCTGGCCTTAGAATCATCAACGCAGAGAAATCTGAGTTCAATGAGGATCAGGCGGCCTGTGGGAAGCTGTGCATCCGGAGATGTGAGTTTGGGGTTGAAGAGGACCAGGAATGGCTGACCTTGTGCTCAGAGGAGGTGAGTGCAGCTGAGCCTGAGTCCCTCTTATAGTCTGGGGCCAAGACTGGGGTCAGGACTGCAGACTGAGGTTCTTGCCCTAGTGCCCCACTTTCGGCCAGGGGACAACTAGGGAGGCCAAGCAGAGCCTGATGCCAAGCCCTTCCTGTAGTTCCTGACAGGTCATTACTGGGCACTGTTTGATGGGCATGGCGGTCCAGCTGCAGCTATCCTGGCTGCCAACACTCTGCACTCCTGTCTGCGCCGGCAGCTGGAGGCTGTGGTAGAGGGCATGGTGGCCACTCAGCCCCCCATGCACCTCAGCGGCCGCTGCATCTGCCCCAGTGACCCCCAGTTCGTGGAGGAAAAGGGCATTAGAACCGAAGACTTGGTGATCGGGGCTCTGGAGAGTGCCTTTCAGGAGTGTGTGAGTGTGACCTTTGGCTGGGGGAGGGAAGGTTTTACCCCCAGGGACCTGAGGGACTCTGGGGTGGGTGGGGGAGTGGTGTCCCTGCACTTAATGGTGATCACCCTGGATCTTCGGATTGAGAGGATAAAATTGGGTTAGGTTGTTATTAAGCAGTCGTCATAACCTCGTATTTCTCCAGCACCTCCTATTAATATGTGCTAGGTGCTTTTACCTGTATTATCTCATTACACATCCTTTTAGGTCCCTGGTTTCTCTTCCTCGCTGTTTAGAATATGACCTTCATTCCTCCCCAAGGATATATTTAGATCACCTGACCACAGGGATCCTGGAGTCATAGCTAGACTTTGGGCAGGGACTGCCATGCTTGCTGGTGGGGAAGTGTGCTGGGGGTGGGGGGGGGGGCGGCTGGGGACAGTGGCAGGGTGGCAGTACAAGCAGCAGCTGACACAGCCTTGGTTTGCCCCAGGATGAGGTGATCGGGCGAGAGCTGGAGGCCTCAGGCCAGGTGGGTGGGTGCACAGCCCTGGTGGCTATGTCTCTGAAGGGAAAGCTGTATGTGGCCAATGCTGGGGACAGCAGGTGAGTGAGCCCTGGAGGGTGGGCGAGGTGGGGCGAGCAGACGGGCAGTAGAGGTGGGGGGACAGTGAAAGGGGACTGGAAGTGGGGAGACAGAAATGAGGAAGATTGGCTCAGTTGTTTGTGTATTGGGCACGTGTCAGATGCCAGAGGGGCCCGGGACCTCAGGGACCAGGTCAGACGGCTGGGGCTTTTACCCTGCCGGACTTAGGCAGTCATGGAGGGGCTTTGAGCAAGGGATTGGCATGAGCACAACTGGCCCCTGGTGGTTGGAGGAGGGGCCAGCAGGAGGGAGGCCATGGGTAAGGATGGAGGCTGCTCCACAGACCTCTCCGTCTCCTCTGAAACTACATCCAGGGCCATCCTGGTGCGGAGGGATGAGGTACGGCCCCTGAGCTCCGAGTTCACCCCAGAGACTGAGCGGCAGCGGATTCAGCAGCTGGTAGGTGCCCTTAGTGGAGGGAGGGTGTGGATGGAGCCCCAACTCCTGGGCCACCAGAGGGAGCCTGATCTGAGCAAGGCTTCCCTATCCCAGGCCTTCATCTACCCTGAGCTTCTGGCTGGTGAGTTCACCCGACTGGAGTTCCCTCGGCGACTGAAGGGGGATGACCTGGGGCAGAAGGTCTTGTTCAGGGATCACCACATGAGCGGCTGGTGAGTGAGGTGGGGTTGGGGACACTGTGGGGAGAGCCCTGGGGTCCAGGCTCAGCTGGGTGGCCTGGGGCAGTCCCCTTCTATGGGGCAAGGTGGGCCTGTTGGCCTGGGTTGATGCTGGGTCTGCTCCTGGTAGGAGCTACAAGTGTGTGGAGAAGTCGGATCTCAAGTACCCACTGATTCATGGACAGGGTAGGCAGGTCAGTGAATGGCCACTCTGAGAATCCCTCTTGAATCGCCCCCTGTAGAGGCGGGAGCTCCTTTGTCCCTCATGGGGGGTCTTGGTTGAGGTCCTAGGGGCTGCTCCAAGGTCACAGGATGTTTCTCCCTCAGCCCAGGCACCCATGGGTCACAGTCCACCTCTGTGTGCTTTACGTGTATATTTTCTGGGGCTATTTGCTATCACCTGACACCTCCATTATCTCCAGGCTCGGCTACTGGGAACTCTGGCTGTCTCCCGGGGTCTAGGAGACCATCAACTCAGAGTCCTGGACACAAATATTCAGCTCAAGCCCTTCTTGCTATCTGTCCCACAGGTGAGGGGGCCACAGCACTTCCATCTGCCCAGAAAGGCAGACAATGCAAGGTTGGCGGGAGCTAGGAAGGGAGTGGTGAGGAGACCTCAGACTTACCTTGCAGGTGACTGTGCTCAATATGGACCAGCTGGAGCCCCAGGAGGAGGATGTGGTTGTCATGGCAACTGATGGGCTCTGGGATGTCCTGTCCAATGAGCAAGTGGCACGGCTGGTTCGGCACTTCCTCCCTGGCAACCGAGAGGACCCACACAGGTACTGTAGTTGCTGGGGATCTGCCTGGACCTGGGTTAGTACCAGCAGCAACATTAAGAATTACCGAGAGGACAACACTGCAGAGGAGTCCGGCTAAGAACAGTTGGCCAGGACTGGAGCTACCTCAGGTTTCCCGTGGGTGACTGTGGGTCCCCAAATTCTCTGGGTCCATACTCACATGGTACAATCTGTGGCCCTCCCAGGCCCCCACAGTCAGACTGCACTGCTTGAGTTCTCCAGTGTCCAGCACTGTGAGTTCTCCCTGAGGGCTGGCCTTGCCTTGCCTCTTTGATCTGGCCCCAAAGTACATCTGCAGGACGGTCCCCACAGGTTCTCGGAGCTGGCCAAGATGCTGATACGCAGCACACAGGGGATGGATGACAGTCCCATACAGGAAGGGCAGGTGTCCTACGACGACGTCTCTGTGTTCGTGATTCCCTTGCACCACCAGGGCCAGGGGCACAGTAGCCACTGAGGATTCAGACACCGCATCCCAGAACCACCAAGGGGCCAGGTGCGATATGGATATCCCTCCACCATGGTCGACAGCAGGTCTGCCTGCCCCAGTCCCAGACTAAGCCCTGACCCCAGCCCATTTCAAGGTGCACATTTCTACAAGGCAGTCAGAGCTAGAAAAACATAGGGGGTCCCCCAGGCCTGCCCCCCCACCCCCCGTTGCCAGGCAAAGAACGCTACTGTCAATAACGTCCTGCAGAGTCACCTTACATTAGGAATCCATGCAAGGCTCCTCAGAGAGGATCCTAAACAGCCCCAATACATTATTCCCAAATGGGGACAGCTGGACTAAGTGCATTGGCCAAGGATGCCAGAAAGGGCAGACAGCCTGTGGTTGGATCCAGGTCTCTAATGCGTGAATGTCACTGAGATCCTACTCTGCTCTCCTCTGCTGGAAGAGAGGCACGGGTCCAGGGGCTATAGTAGAGGGAGAAACTAAGGGGCAGAAGGAACCCCAGAGGTGGCTGAGTGGTGAATGCTGTCATCACTGCTCCTGACTCTAGCTGGGTCTCCTGACTGCTCCTCACTGGCCCCAGCCAGAAACTGATGCCTCAATAATGCCCTTTTGTTGCTTCCATCACCTCCCTATTAAATGTTTATGTGCAGAGAACCCTTGTGAATTGTCAATTGCTGTATAGCTTGGCATTATATAGTACACTTTTGCTTTTTCTCATTCGTCTAAAAAAAAAAAAAAAATCAGTCTTAGCCTTAGCTCCACCTTACAAATTTCCCTATAGTCAGCACTGTGTCTTCTCTGCAGCCTCCCTAGTTCCCAGCTTGGGATGAGCCCCAGTGAGAGAACTACTGCCCAGGAGAAGGGAGGGTCCCCACTGCTGGCTGTGAGTTCTGGGCTTGAGGTACCAGAGGGAATGCTTTTGGGTTTTTTAAAAATGCAAGTTGTAACAGTTTTAGTATAAAGCTTACAGCAAATTTAGAATAAAGCTAGACTTACTGACTGGAGACAAGTCAGTTGGGGCTCGAGAGCTTGCTGTTTGATGAGTAGTTTAGTTCTTCAGCTTCCTCACAAGACCTCTTTTTATCATCCAGCACTGGCCAAGGCTCAAATGCTTAGTATTTGTTGAATTTCATAACCTCAGCCTTATCTTAACTCTTCTCTCATCTACTCTTACTTTAGTTTACAATTGAGATTAATTCTTACCAGGCAACTCACCGCCTTAAACTGCAGCCAGAAAGGACAAGGACCACTAAGCCCCAATATGATGGTGAAACTTGTTTATTTAACACACTGGGGAGGCTACCAGACCTTCTTTCCTGCCCATTAACTCATTTTAGACTGCATTTCCTACATGTTCCCCAAGGAAGAGATAGGATAAACTATGAAATTACTCACTTTTTACAGTCACATTCTATAGCCCCGGCACTCCTGGGCCTACCTCTGTCCATAGCTGGGTCATGACCAACTGTGGTTGGCCCCAGAAGCTCTGGGCAGCCCCTCCAGGACTCTAGTGAGGCATCTGGCAAGGACAAGTGTGCCCTACTGCCCTGCAGTTTTACTTCCTATTTCTTCAGCAGTTGCCACCCCCCTCCACCCCTGCCCCCAGCAAAGCTTTGTAAGCGGTACCCTGTGCCTGCCAAGCCACTACCCACGTCAGCTACTGAGCCAGCTCGCCCACACTCTGCTTTGCTTCTCACATCACGAGGCTGAAGCCCAGAAGTGGGCGCGCTCAACTGCAAACAAGCCAGACCGAGGGGAGTGACCACTGCAAGGGCAGCCATGCTCACCTGCGTGTTCATGTCTCTCAGCAGAGCCAAACACTGCAGTGGCCCTCCTCCCTGAGCAGTCATGTTGACAGCCTGTGCGTGGCCTGCCCCTTTCAAGTTGGGACGCTCCCTCTGCTGCCCTCCAGAGCCTTTGATCAACCTCTAATGACCAGGGGCAAAGTGGCAGGCCCACGGTATTGCAGCTGAGGATACCAAGCTACTAGTGAGCTACCAATTCACTGGCCAGGCAGTGGGTTACCAAGGAACAGGCCAGGCCTTCTACCAGAATTTTAGTTCCACTATACTTGCCCCCCAACAAGCTAGGGCCTAGCAGGATGAACCTTATTCCAGCTAGAGGTTGCCAATCTGATCAAGGGTTGAGGTTAACAGTGGGGATGAAAGGCAGCTTGAGGTATACACCAGATATAGCCTTTGAGGATCTCAAGGCTGGCTCAGGCCTGCCTTTTCTGGGTCACTCATTTCTGGCCCTACTGCTGCTTATTAGAATGGGGGACTGAGGGACCCAGACTGCTCTGCATTCAGACCTGGATTTGGGGTTCCTCCCACCAGCCCACAGGCCTCAGTTACCAGAGGCAGTCCCAGCAAGTCCAACAACCTGTCCACAACATTGCGGTGAGTCTCAGTATGAGCCAGGAGGACTGACAGGGGACAACCCATCCCCATGCCCTCCAACTCTTAAGAACAAGGCAAATAGTGCTATGAAAACTCAATGGAAGAGGCTGCAGCCATAAAATTCTGTTTAAGACAGATAACATGGAAAAAAACGTTTATATGTTAAGTACAAAAAGGACATAAAATTGTATATACAGTAGAATAACAACTATGTAAACACACCAAAAATCTATATGCACAGAAATGTCTAGAGGAACACTTAACACCAAAAGATTAGCAGTGGTAACATTTGGGTGGTAAACTGATTCTTTTTAAAATTCCCAGATTTTTCTTAATAAGCATTATGACTGCAAGTTATGTTTTTTTCCTAAAAAAACAAAAAATACCCCACTAGCTGGTGGTTGAGCAGTGCAGTGTCACTGTCACATATAAATCAGTGGCTTTGGCCCTGACTCTTGAGAGCCTGGTGTGCCCCCCACCCCCAGGAGAACTTAAGCACCTCGGCTCCCACTGAAGGTGTCTTAGCAGCCCTGGTGCTCCTCAGCGTCTCTGACCCACAGACACTCCTCCCTTAATTCTGCCTTATTTCCACCACCGCATCATCTTCGGCCACTTCCAGCTGCATCTTTCCCTTTCCTTCCCAACTCAGGAGCTGGCTCTGCAGCCGCAGGTCCCCATCAACAGAAGCAGCGCAGTGCATATTTTCAAAGGACCTGCTGCCTCAGCTTCGGACACACAGGAACTCAATACAAATCATTTTCCTGCAGATAGACAAGTCATGTGTGGTGGCTGCTCTGGGTACAGATAATGAGACTTATGCAGGCCTTCTTGTTAACCTACAGTTCCAAGTACTCTCTCTGAACAGTTATTCTTACCATGAATCTTCTACCCTGGAAAGCCAGAGGTGGGCAGTTAATTGTTCAGATCACTTGGTTTCTAAAAGTCTCTCCACTCTGAGAATGCAGAGCTTTATAAAGAGTGCAGCACTGCAGAAACTGTAGATTCCAGTCTATGTCTGGCAAAGATCTATGCCCCTTGCCCTTAAATTTGAGGAACAAACCAAAAAGTAACTGCTAAAAAAGCAAAAGAAAACAAAACAGTAAATGCTAGCAATTTGCAGCCTATTCCTGCTGCTGAATGGTGAGAGTAATGGCTTGCCTTCCCCACCAGCGGGCAGGTACTCTTGGGCAAGTCAAACATAACCTTGTTGGGCCTGTTTCTGGGTCTGCAGGGAATGTGTTACTTGCTTATATGTTTGGGAACTTGGTGAAATAATATGCCACTTGTCCTGCTCTAAGAAGGCCATGCAGGGGAAAAGGTAATGAGCTATCTGCAGCTCATCTCAACCCCGATCAGGAATCCTCCCCAAGACAAGGCAAGGAAAAGAAGCAAGAAAGCAGACATACCAGGTAAACAGGAGTGACCTGTAATTGGCAAAGAAGCCTCAGACAAGCTGAAAATGCTCTGGTTCCAGCATCCTGTCCCCAAATGCTGGAAGCCAGACACAAAAGGCATGCAAAAGTGACTGTCACACACATATAGGCGCAGACAGAGCATCACTGGGCAAAAAAGGGGCTAATACTGCAGAGAAGGCCCCAAAGTGCGACTTGAGGAACACAAGGCAGTCATTCCAAGACCCTCACTTAGCTGCCATGGGGACAGCAAACACACAAAAGCTTTGCTTTTGTTTAGTCTCCCGAAGGGAAAAAGGTAATAGGGAAGACTCACTAACACTTGTGGCAAACACTATTAGCAAGGATGCAGTCTTTCTCTGGGGGCATGGGACTCCATCTCCTTCAGCTGAACTCTTTGATACTTTTAAAATATATATATATATATATATATGTATATATATATATATGTGCACACACACATATATGTATATATGTATGCACACACACAATATATTTAAATGAAGGTGTACACACACTGTGCTAAAATACAAACAACAGAATCCCAAGTCATATATAAAAAGGCTAAATATAACATATAACACAGGCCTAGGCCAGCCCCGTGTTGGGAGCTGGGGAAGGGGTAGGATCATCTGGAGACTATGTACACAACTTGTGGTGGGCAGGGAAGGCATCAGTGTAAACAACTCGGACTCACTCCACAATACTGGCCCACAGGAACGTGTGATGGAGCTCATGTACAAAAACAGACGCCCACCTTGCTTTCATACACAATCAAACTTGGCAGGCACCCAGAAGGACCGCGGGTTTGTCTTGATGACGGGACCACACCAAGCTGCTGCTAGACCTCCCGGCCCTAGGAATTCACCTGCTACCACTCCTCCCTCCCTTTCAGGCTCTTGACCCTTTGCCCACCCAGAGCCTGAGGCATGGTCAGGTCACCCACCTTCACATGACTAACTTGCAAGACTTCTGGAAAGCAAGGTCCTTCTGTATCTGTCCCTTTCTGACCCTAAAATACATGGAGACTTACTTCTGTAAATGTTTGGCACCTAAGTAATGCAACGGTTGTGGAGAATGCCACAATAACACAGGGAGACCCAGTAACAAGACATGCAGGGGGAGGGCAAGGGGCACTAAGCTGCCCTAGCATCTCAAAATCAGAACTGTGGCTTCCCATGCATTTGTGGGGGTGGGAGAAGGGATGTGCAGAATGAACAACTTCACCGACTCCTCAGCAGCAAATACATTCAAAACTGAAGGCGTCTCGAGGGCCCCACTATACCCTCATCACAAGTCTGGTCACCCCTCTGGAGGAGCTCGGTGCAGTGACAGCTGGCAAGTCTGAGTCCTGATTGAGTCGGCCACACCAAGAGTCCTTTTGAAGAAGTTCGGCAAAGTAACTTTTTTCTTTTGAGCAGATGTACAGCACATTCTTGGGAAGGCCATGTGGAAGGATGCTCTCCAGCCCAGTCAAATGATCCAATCCCACTATTATCTTAGTCCCCTCTGAGTTTTTCCTACTTGCCACCCTTGCTGTACAGAAAACAGCCAAGCACCGTGCAGGTCAGTCATCAATGGTGGGCAACCAGAAGGCCTGGATGAAAGAAGAACACGAGTCAACTCTAAGAAACCAAGCTTCTCTCCTCATTGCTGAAGGGTTTTCTTACCCCTCCCCCACCATCAAGGTGCCCAACCCTAAAGCTGAAGCAGCTATGGCTGATGGCCCTCCCTCCTGACCAACTGACTGGCAATCTATAAACAGAGAAACACTCTTTTTCCCTCCTACACTAAGTTCCACCACAGAGGTCCAGTGATTTTTTTTTTTTTTAAAAAAAAGTGCTCTCCAGGAGGTGGTATCTGGCTTCACTGTTAACCTACAAGTGACCTTAGGCAGCTCTCATTCAGGAGCTGTAAATAACGAGAGGTTGGACTGGATTGCTCTGCTTCTGTTTTTTGACAGTTTTCTTAGTTAAAAAGAAAAAGAGACGGAGCAATGTATTCTGAGTAGGCGAGTAATGAAATGCCTCATGCCCCAAATACCTAGACAGGTTTAGGAGATGCCAAGAGGAAACAGGTGGCTGAGATTCACTGATACTTTGTTTTGTTCATGTTGCCCAGGAAGAGACAGGGGCCTGGAGAAAATTCTAAGTGGTGAGCTGTGATTAACTAAGAATTTCTGATGAACTCAGCATAATCTGAGAGGAATGGAAAAACTGAAAGTTTGCAGCCACAAAAGGCTGGCTCAAAGAGTTTTAAGAAACCAAAAAACTATGAGGCATAGCTCCAGGTAGTCTGGATATAAAACCAGGAGCCAGAGCGGACCTAAGATCTCCCAGGACCTCAGAGGTGATCCCAGATCATGGAAAGAAAAGTAGAAGTGAAAGGTCAGCCCAATCACAGATCAGATAACAGAAGTGAAATAGGGAGGCCACGAGCTGAGAAACATGAACTTGGGTACTTGTAACTGTGCCTATTTAAAACAACTCACTGTGCTCGCTGAAGGACCCCCACCCCAAATGAAAAGGGCCCCTACGTGAAGGACATCTCCCGTTGTTCACATACCATGTTAGAACAAGCGCTGGCAAAGGTCATGAACTTGGGGTTGAACTGCAAACAGGTAATGGGGCCTGTGTGTTTGCCATCCAATACAGCTACTTTTATACCACTCTCTCCATTCCAGACATGGATCTTGCCATCCTCTGAACCTGAAGAGAATGATTAAGGCATGTAACAACAGCTCAAGGCACACTACAAAGACAAGTGGCAAACAGATACGGACTGACATCTTGAAAGCGGCCAACCCTCAGGACCCAGCCACCAGCAGAAATGGAGAGGGAGTAAAGGCAGATAAGAAAAGACACTTTAGGAACTGATCTAGACTCTATTCTCAGGCAAGTCATTTCCCCTCTAACTTCAGTCTTCTCATTTAAAAAGGGGGCTTAAAAAAAAGGGGGGGGGGGCTAAATAGGATCACCCTACAAACATCTATACTAAGGTGACTCAACATAAGGTTACAACAGGAAGTCAGTACTATTAGCAAGACAGTGATTGTAGGGCTTAACTCTATGCTGGTCCAGGAGAAGACCATCATTAACGCCCATTCCCAGTAAAGAAATGCAAAGTCAGGACAGTTTAAAGACACAATACCTTTGACATAATGTGCTACACAGAAATCTGAAAATTTCTATCAAGAGGATAATAAATGGTATCTTAGTTAGTTATAACCAGCAAAAATAACATAATGCACAGTATCATAATGCACCCCCAAAGGGGATAAAGAAAGCTTACCAATCATAATAAACTGGGAGTCTGGAGTAAACGAGGCCTCCAATGTGACAGCCTTGCTGTTAGCATAACCCTAAAAAATAAAAGCAAAACAATACTCGTTACAGTGCCATTAACAAAAAGTAATTGCCTACAAACACTGACTCCACATACACATCTTCTTTTCTGTGAAATACTCTCTCCTTCTCCATGCACAGTGCTACCAAGGTTCCAAACTTGGCTACCACCCTTCACAATTAATTCACTCCCAACTGCATGTTCAAGGGGGCTAGAAAATGCTTATAGTCAGGAATTATTATATATCTAAACACCTAACTTGAGCCACTGGGTGAGAAGTAAATGTCTCAGAATCCAAGAGAAATAATGTCATGAGCAGGAAGAAAATGCTAGTCCATGCCTTTAACCAAGGACAACTGCTGGTCTCCATCAACTAGCAAACATAATTCTCAGAAGGGATGGGAGGAAAAAAAAAAGCTCAAAAGTTGTCAGCTCACCCCAAACGTATGCATCACCACTCCCTTGAATGCATCGATCAGACGGATGAAGCTGCCATTGGTGGAGATGAGGATGAGCTTGCCATCATTGCTGAACTTGAGTCCGGTCCACTCACAAGTCCGATCATACTGCATCTTAAATGTTGCAAATGGCCCCTGAAAAAGATAAAGACGGCAGCCTCAGGCCCAAGGCACATCAATCATTCCTTCTGCCAGAGCCAAATCTCATTCTATCCCTTTAGATTCCTTTGGGACTAGGGAAAGCAGAGGATTAAGTACTGCTCTTATGCTTTCTAAGATCTACCACATACCTCCTCTAGTGTAGAAAAAGGCTCTTAAACGTCCATCTCACCCTTCAAAACTTCCACAGTATCAAAACAGTTCAAAGATTTACCTTATCAAAAGAACGAAGATCATATAGTTTGACCATTTCAGAATTGACACCTGCGGCAAAAATTAATCCTTCTGGATCAAAAGAACAAACAGGCTTGCCCTGTAGATGCATGAGACCCTAAGAAAAAAGAAAATTTTTTTAAAAAGTTAATGAACCCAGGATTCTACCAAAAACAAACATAAAACTAACTAAAATGAAGTTTTAAAAAAATAGGTCTCCATGCAATTCATTTCAGATCAACTCTAACTGTACAATTTTATAGACACTGAATTCAGATAAAAACAAATCTCTGAAATCTAAAACCTATAGTTCAGAGTCTCCAGGAAAACTGCCTTTAAAACACTAAGGCATGGATCATAATAAATATGCACTGGATTAAGACATTAACTCAATCATCAGTCACCTACCAGGAAAAGAAAAGATTTTCTCCATAATTTAAAGACTCTGGCATCCCAGAAAGGAAATACTGCTTTCCCTCTTCCGTGAGAGAGAACACTGATGATAGTGCTTACCACAGAAAACACTTAAAGTGTAACTGTGAGGCAACATTACCTGGCAGTTAGGAGAGCGGAGATCCCAGAGCCGAATGGTCTTATCAAGAGACCCAGAAATGAAAGTGTCATCCACAGGTGACATGGACAAGGCCACCACCCTGCAATGCATCAAGATAAATAGTAGTTGAAGCAAAATATCTGCAAAAATTGTAATATGAACTCTAAACCACTTGACCTGCCTACCTATATATATGTTCTCCTAAAAATGTTATTTTAAGAAACAGGCATACACAAGCAATCCGGAATAATCAAAGGCAATTAGTATAATTTAAAGGGCAACTTAAAACTACAACATAAAAATATATGATTCCAATGCAAATCAAATCATGAGATACCACTTCATACCCACTAGCAAAGTGAAAATCAAAGAGATAACAAGTGTGGGTGAGGATGTGGAGAAATTGGAATCCTGATACACTGCTGGTAAGAATGTAAAATGGTAGAGTTGCTTTGAAAAAGTTCTACACTTTCTCAAAAAGGTAAACAGTCTGTTGCTAGGTATATACACAAGAAACAGGAAAACAGGTCAAAAAAGAAAAAAATCCCCACGCATCTGTGTTCATAATAGCATAATTCATTACTAAAAAGTGGAAACAACTCAAAGGTCTATCATCTAATAAATGGATAAACAAAATGTATTATCACCACATAGGAATATTATTTGGCAATAAAAAGAAATGAAATCACTTATTCATATTAAATATGCATGAAAGTAAAAGAGGTCAGACAGAAAGTAGATCAGTTGCTTCCAGGGGCTAGAAGACAGGAAATGGGGAGTGTTAATGGATACAGGGCTTCTATCTGGGGTGATGAATGTGTTCTGGAATTATACAGTGATTATGGTTGTCCAACTCTGTGAATATATTAAAAACCACTAAACTGTACACTTTAAAAGCATGATTTTGTGGTACTGAACTATATCTCAATTTATGTGGGTCCAATAGGTCTGACAATCTATGTTTCTAACAGGTTCCTAGGTTTTGGTGAGGCTGATAGTTTGAGCACCATACCTAGAGAGCCACAGGCCTGTGCTAACAGCCTATGCTATGTTTCTGATATAGGTCCCCTTTTATGATTATACTGTTAAGAATCACTCACTGTAAAATATTTCTTCCAAGGCCTCATCTGGGCTCCTTCCCCTCTGCTCATGTTCTTGCTCTGCCATGCTCTGCACTGATGATACCAACCATGTCCCCAGCATTTGGGGCCAGCCTATGGAGGACAGCATGTGACTCTGCTTTACCTGCCTCTTGGAGCATGCCAGAGCCCTAACCAGGGGTTCCTTGAGGAAGCCCTTGTGAAAATGGACACTCAGATGGTGCTTCCTTCTGGGTGTTATGGAAGAGCAGCTCCACATTCTGACTTGGCTAAAAAACACTTCATAGACAGAAGAGTGGGTGTCATAGCTGAAGATTACAGAGGAAATGGTGGTGGTGTACTGTTTCATTTTGACAAAGAAAAATCTGAAGTTAAAAGATAAGGTGATCAAGTCATATAACTCATTTGTGAATGAATTTTTTAACTGTAGAAATAGAGGAAGTTCAAATTTTAGATGACACTGAAAGGGGTTCAGGAGGTTTTGGTTCCATGAGAAAGAATTCAAATGTGTGCCACGAACAGAAAATGAGAAAATGTACTTTCCCCGCCCTGCCCCCAAATCTTCCAGCATAACAAAATTAACATTTGCACTAGATCATCAACTTAAAAATTTAAAAGATACTATAAGCCAAAATTTCCTGGGAATGCTGAGGCGGTAATAAAACAGTGTGAGGAGAATGCATATGGACATGTAATTTTATGTCCCAGTATTCAGGTCAGAAGCTCAGAGGAAGTCTACCTTGGCACATGGCTCTGCTAAGAGATACAGGGAATGCAAGGAGGAACAAGATTTCCACTCTAAGAAAGCTTAACTGTCTAGCCCAGACAATTCCGAGAGAGGGTCAGAGAAGGCTTTCTGGAAGCAGCTGCACCTGTGTTGAACAGGGTTTCAATGGGAGTGGTCTTTCTGGAAGATGCCAGATAGGAGAAGGCATGAAGCAGTTCAGGAAGCAGCATAAGAGTTCACCTCAACTGGAGTGGCAGGAGATAACACTGGGAAAATGGGTCAGACAGAGAGAAAAGAACCTGACTCCAGGGTTTTTTGAGGGAGGCTGTGAAGTGGTTAGAATTGTTAAAAAAAAACCCCCCAAAACAGAGTGTAGAAGCAGGATAGTGAGTGGTGGGGGGATTAGGGTTTGACAGTAATTTACCTGAGCAAGGACAGAAGCAAAGGAGTAAGTATGGAGGAAAGTGACACATGAGGTTAAACCTAGGTAGTATCAATAGGATTTAACAGCTCACTGAATGTGAAGGCAAGGAAAAAGCAGTGAACAGACAACAGAGGCTTTGAGTCGGGAGAACTAGAAGAGACAGATGGAAAAAACATAAGGCAGACAGAGGAACTGGCCCAAGGAATTTAACGAAGGATGGAGTATCAGATCTGTCAGAGACATCTGCAGAGATGTGTATAAAACCTGTAGGTGTGAAGTCCAGGGCTGAAAATACTGATTTGGGAAGCCATCTAAGGTGAATGAAATCAGTGATGGAGGTAGCTGAGAAAATACCAAGAAGAAAAAAAAGCTAGGTAGAAACTTGCTTACTTCAGAGTTAAAGGACAAAGAGAGGCCAAGAATATCAAGAACAGAACCAAGATGGAAAGCCAAAGGGGAAAAAAAAAGTTTTACTGAGAGCCTGAGTGCCAAAACAAGCCCCAGGCAGTGTATTTTACCTGGAGGCAGCAGGGAAAGGGGAGTAAACAGCTTGGCTTGGATGAGAGAATTAAGCAGTGAATGAATGTGAAGAGGTAGAGATGGGAATATGCAGATTCTTCTTCTATGTCTGACAGTGAAAAGTGGGTGATATTCTCAACAAAAAAATTCAAGGTAAGGAAGCCTGTAGGCAGCAAAGGAGATGGAAGAAAGTAGAGAGGGGTTGCTTTTCTCAAGGAAAAAAAAAACTACTTCTTTCTCAGGGAATGGTTTCTAAGGAAGAAAGGAATTTAGGTGGAAAAGACAGAAGTTGAAAAGAACTCATTTTGGATGGCCTTAACTTTCTCACAAAAGGAAGGACAAAGTTATCTATTAAAAATCAGGAGGTCAAGAAATTGGGCAAGTGGTAAGACCGGACAGTTTCAAACAACTGCCACCAACTCTCAATTATAGACAATGTGTCTGTGAACATTAATTTAACAAACAAAAACATCTACTAGTCACAAGCCATTCTTTGTCTGAACTACATAGTAACCAACAATTGCCACCTTTTATGTTCAGCTTCCCTGGTGGCTCAGATGGTAAAGCATCTGCCTACAATGTGGGAGACCGGGGTTCAAACGCTGGGTCAGGAAGATCTCCTGGAGAAGGAAATGGTAACCCAATCCAGTATTCTTGCCTGGACAATCCCATGGTTGGAGGAGCCTGGTAGGCTATAGTCCATGGGGTCGCAAAGAGTCAGACAGGACTGAGCGACTTCACTTTCACTTTCATGTTCAGCAACAAAGAAAATGCCCAGCCCAATCAGAAGTGTCACTGTAAACAGGGTGCTCTCCGCCCACCTCTTATCAGGGCTGAACCACTCAATGTTGGATTACTGTACATTTGCAAAGAAAAGTACCAGTGATTAAAATAGCATCCAAGGGAAATTGTGTATAACATTCAACCCAAACTTGAAAAACTGGAGGAAATATACTAGGAGAATTGGGATAAGAGACAGAGAGAAACAACCTGCATTATGAAACTGAATAAGGAAACAAGTTTCTTAACTTTCAAAAAGTAACAAGGGACAATTTTATTTATTAATTTTGCATTTTCATGAAGATCTTCATATGGAACATGTTTAGGTAAAGGAGGGGCATGCTGAAATGGGGGCCACCTATACAGGAAGCCTCAGACATGTAAACTGTCCTTTCATTAAGGGATGTCCGATATTTGAGATCTCTAAATGCCAAATGCAATTTTTACTATATAGATTTCCACTGAATATCCTTAGTCCACATTTTTCCTATTAATGTTTTAACTGAGGTTTCAGTTTATCCATGAAGTCCTACCCCTGCCTCTACAACCTTGATTAATCTAGAGCTGACTGTTTAGGAAGGGTTAACAAGAGGAGATTTAAGAGATATGCCAAGCAGCAGTGAGAAACTAGCTTCATTTCACTAATAAAATCTCTCCACTTAGTTTATTCTCTGGATAATCTATTTACTTTTTTTTAATACCTGTGTCTTACCTTTTGCTATGTCCAGGAAAGTACCTGATATATTTGTTGTCATGCAATGACAGGTAACGAATAGTATCTGAAAGAAGACAAATATCCTATTATTTTAAAATAATAACTTACTTTGCATTTTCATCTTGAAATGACAAGGTAAAAGAATTCATTGTTCTCCATAATTCAAGCAAAGTCTGAATGAACAATAGTGAATAACTCCTTTCCACAGCACTAGAGATTTCACATAACTCAAAAGCAGAGTTCTCAAGCTGAAAGCATACAGAGCTATGTTTAAAAATCATGTTGTTACCAATCTTTGGCTTCTGCATAGTTACAATGAAATTTATCCCACAAATATGCCCCACCACCCCCCAAAAAACAACAGTTTTAGTACCCACAGAATGCAAACGTTAAAGAAAAACATATGGCTACTGACAAAACAGGCTCAAAGAACTAAACAGCCATACTGAGTTGTGGATCAGGCTGGACTCTGGCATATTTTTCTCCAGCATTCTCCAACAGCATGTCAACCCAACCTTCACCTCATCTGAATGTAAACTGAATACACAATTTACATTAAAATTAAATAAAATGGAAAGAGAAGTTCTACTCCTTTTCTAATTAACCAACTATAATGGTCCTTTATTCAGATAAGTGAGTTAGAAAGTAGCCAAAAGAAATGAGAAAATTTAGATTAAAAAGACTGCAAGATATTTAAAAATCAAAGTCATGAACTATACCAAGTCACAGTTCACAGCAGTGAGATTTTTACAGTATCAAGGAAAGGAATTATCACAGAGATCTGTGCTTGGAGAAAATAAGAAAAATACTCTTAAAAACCAAATCACTCCTTCTGAAAAAGTAAAACAAAATACGATGGTGCTGGGAAGGGAATGAAGTTCCATAAAGAATAGAACTGTAAAGTACCATGCTTCTGACAAGACTAGGAATAAGAAACAATTGTTGAAAAATGTAATAGGCAATAGGGCCAAAATACAGAAAAGGAAAGCATAGAAAGAACATTCTGGAGGTAAACAGTATACAGGAATAGAGGTTGAGAGCACAAATTCTTTCCACTCGTTCACAGGGGTACTAATAACAGGGAATTTAACCTGGGAGAGGGAAAAAGGCACAAAACTAAACATAGTTTCCCTGCAAACATCTTCAAAGTTCTTGAATGACAACTGTAAAGTATTCCTGACTGTTCTACTGCGAGGAACTCCTCACCGGCCCTGAGCAGAAGAGACCCCTTCCCCATTACCTGGTCTCCCAGAGGTGGGCAGGGCGCCGCCATCGTCTCCGCCCCACTCGGTAGCCGGCGCACTGTTCCCGGCAAGGCAGTGGCCTGTACAGTTATCTCCTGTACCGGGTGGTATCATAGACCCTCAAACTGTACAAACTACTACCTCAGCCTGGAATCAGGCAAAAGGATACGAAGCGTTGCAGCAACTCCTCAGGATGTGCTCGAAACAGGAAAGGCAACGTCCTCACAGCAGAGGCCTAGCAGCAGAGCTGCAAGCGCTACACATCTGCCTCATCTTGCACCATACTTGGAGAATTCTCATTTAATCACCCAGAAAAACGCCCCAACAGGAGAAACACCATTCATTCAGATGATCACAGAGATATATTTCCTCAAAATCCTGTTTTATATTCTTGTCCAAAAGTATCAATTGCATTGCTACCTTAGAAAACCACCTCTGAAATAAAGGCATGAAAAGTACAAACAATATACTTACTAAAAATCAAATACAGAAGTCTCATTAAAAAAAAGAAACAAAAAACTTTTACCCATCTGCTCTGAGATAGGCATAACCAAAATAGCAGTCTAAGCAACCCTTGTTGAATGACATTAGAAAAATCTTACTGCTAAAAATGAAACAATCAATAAGTCAGTGAGATTAAAAAAAAAAAAAACCCAGTCCTAACATGAAAGTGTTATACCTCAATTCCAAGATGACCTGTCAACTGAGAATGACCTATCACAGAGGAAAAGCAGTAAAAACAAAGATCCTTTATTAGAGAAAGAAATCACAAGTTTAAATTCTAAAAATAACTATTATTCTTCAAAGACATTAACTTTATTTAAAGAAGAAAGTGAGTCCAGTGGTTAAGACTGGAGTGGCAGTGGTTAAGACTCTGCGCTGCCAATGCAGGGTACACAGGTTTGATTCCTGATGAAGGAACCAAGATCCCACATGTTGCACACATGGTATGGCCAAAAACTTTAAATAAATAAATGGAAAAGGGGATAAAATTCAGATCAAAAATGTCCCCGTAATCAAAGAAAACTAAGGTCAGTATACTGTCCTTTGTGACACAGACCATCAATAGTTTGGACAATACAAAAACTCTTCTAAGGTCTACTAAACTACCATACCTGAAAGTATCTGTGAAAACTTCTCAAATCTGTATTATTTTGAACAGGAAGGCAGCACTGTTTTAACACTTGCTGTGTGTCAAGTGTTCTCTCCTTTTATTTCTTCTAAAAGTCTTCTTTCAAGTTTCAAGAAGCACAAACTGTAAATACAATTTGTAGCTTCCTATTTCCACTCCCCACCCTAAACTAGAAAACTTCCTTACTCAGTTTCAAGTCCTTCAAAAGTACTCATGGCTTACTTCCAGCATCTCTTCAGTCATAATGATGTTAGCACAGCAAACATCACGGGAAAATTTAAAATAACTATAATCAAACATAAGTGGTCACAAAGGTTCCATAAACCTTACCTAACAAAGGTAATCATGACCACTAACTTGCTAAACAGAAGCCTGCTTACCGTCTATTTTGTTAGAGCTGTAAACGACTGTATTTGCTGCATGAGTGTATCTGATGAGATCCACGCCGTATTTCTTACTGTACAAGGTTCTCTTTGGTCTGCCGAGGAAATGGACAGAGAAAAAAACCATCAAAATCTTCCAACACCAAAATCGAAAATCGTCATGTAAAGAGAAGCACTTGAATGATGTGGGAAAAGGTGAAGATTCTTGGTAAGTCCTAACACTGAAAAGAAACAGAATTTCTTCCAAAAAGGGAGGAAATAAACAGAATCAATCAAGTGCAACAGTCTGAACCAAATGCTAAAGTTAGGAAGTAGAAGTAAATCTGAGGGCTCAAATCAGCCTTTACTACAGTGTTCACAAGTAAGCTCTGAGTACACACAAAACAATCCATAACTTACAAGAAAGAGGGAAATGGGAATATGTCACACCAGTGAGGCCAGAACTTAAGCCATTCACTTGGAAAGACGCTTTCTTCAAGAAATGATTTATCAAAACTGAAACCAGGTGCAAAACTGCCTTTCCTAATATAACCTAATATTTCCATCCTCTCTATCTTATAGTTCCAAAGCACATATTGAGCCTTTTACAAGACTAACCCTAACTCTCTGTATCAAAACTAGTCATTAGTCCTCTTCTCTCTACTTAAATGTAAAATCACTTATTTCTAAGCTGGAGGTTATCAGTCTATTTGTTGAAATTCCTTAAATGTTATCTTCTTCTACAGAATCTTTTTTTTTTTTTGTATTCTTATTTATTTATTTATTTTTTTTACCTACAGAATCTTAAAGATCAAGCTGAAACTGAACTCATCAAAATATTCTGTCTAAAACTTCATAATATTCTACACTTATGTACAGGAGGATTTCATAAATCCTATACTACTGTTTACCAAGAATTTATGGAAAAGAAGTTCACCCTCTCAATGTAAAAACCTCTTGAAACCTAGATGCTAAACAATCAGATGACTCAGGGAGCTTTAAGAAGTCAAATTGCACTTTCAATTTTTCTGACGTAAAGGGTTTCCCTACATTAAACCTATTTACAAACAAGATTTCTCACTCCAAAAGCACTAAATTTTCCCATTCTCATCATCTCCCAAAAGATGAGTTAATAAAAAAGATCAGTTTGAATGCTACCTTGTGGAGTCCACCATCCTGGGTTCTGCCATGTAGTTACTATGTGTTAACCAGTGAATGAGAGAGAGAATGAGGGAGTGAGCGTGCATGTGAACATGTGCTTACTCTCAAGACAGTTGACTTTGCGTCTACCAATGGAAAGTGAAGCTTACCTACCTCAGTATTGAGCCTACAATAATGAAGACAGCCTGAAGAACCAATGTTAAAGGGTATGGTCTAAGGGAAATATTCAGTTTCAATTACATATGGCCTATTTGTCTCAAATATATCAATAATACTAACCTAAGGTTTTGTGCTTAACATAATCTTTTACCTCATATCATTTTCTAGTTTGAAAGCTAGATTCGAATGCATCCATTTCAGAGGACTATGCACATTTTTTCACAAATATTGTGGTAAGTTTCTTTGCACAAACTATGATTCTGGTGATTAGGTAAGAATAAACAATATTAAATCCTTCTCTCTGAATAATTCACATCACCTACCACAAGTAATATCCTTCGTATGCTTTCATACTAAACAAACAAACAAAAATCATTTGGGACTTCCCTGGCAGCAGTGGGTAAGACTGTGCATTTCCAATGCAGGGATCGAGGGTTTGAACCCTGGTAGGGGAACTAAGATCCTACATGTCTTGTGGTGCACCTCCCCCCTCCCCCAAATCACTCAGTGGATGAACTCCATTATAAAGAAAGTTTCAATGAACAGTAAACACAGAAAATATTAAGCACAAAGAATTTTGTTTTAGCTATTTTCAAACTCCCAACATTAGTACCATCTAATACAGATACTGTGCTTTCCACGGAAATCTTACTTTTCTTCCACTGTTGGTTTGACCTACACTAGTGGCAAATTTTTTTCTTCACGTTACCACTTAGGATCATGAACTCCTTGAGGCTAGAGAAGAGATCTGACCAATGTCACATACCTAGTCACAAAGCCAAACTAGAACCCAGTCTATCAGATCACTCTCTTATCACAGATCACCATGAAACAAGGTCACAATTCATATGAGCATATTTTAAAGAATGTGCTGTATACTACTGTGTCAATATTACATTCTCTAATTTGGATAACTGTACTCTGGTTACATAAGAAAACATCCTTGTGCTTAGGATTAGGATATCCACGTTGAAGTGTTTAGGATAAAGGGGCTTGATACCTCTATATCACTATCTAATGGTTCAGGGAAAAAATGCATATATATATATATATATCTGTATATACATACACATATGTATATACACATATATGTATGTAAATATAAACATTTACATAGAGATGACAAAGAAAACAGAGCAAAATATAACTAATTATTGGATCCTGGGAATTCTTGGAAACAATGGTGTAATTTTCTGCAACCTTATAATCATGTAAAAATTCTACATGAATGAATGAACTGAATTATGTTATAAAATGAACATTTTACTTATAACAAGAAGGACTTCCAGTCAATGTCATTTCTACCAACGGGTGGAAATTATGCCATATTTGGAGACAAACTTTGAAGAAATGCTTTCACAATTTTCATTTTCTTTGAATGAAGATACACACCTCCATCCTCAAGTTCCAGGGAGAGGTTCTAATCTGTGCACAAGCACTAAGCATTTCAAGCAAGTCAGCTTCAGATTTCTTCTAGCTCTAGGACCCCACAACCTCTATCTCCACCCTAGCTTTATACGTGACTCTATTCCACGTTAATGCAAGTGGCCAGACTTGGAGAGAAATGAATAACATTGACTCACATCACCACTCAGCATTGGTCCAGCTAACAATTCTCTTCCCCCCAGGACCACCACTATAGGCCACTCTCCCACATACTGCAGGCAGATCCAAAGACAGTTACATAATACATTTCCACAGCCCAAGTAGGAAAAAATTGGGGAGAACAAGAGTTCAGACCATTACCTCAGATAACCAAATTCACAAATGAAGAGACAAGTTCTGAAAGAAAGTTTGTAGAAGACATCAGTTTAAACAAAACAGACAAAAGGAATGGCTGGTGAACGTAAAGAAAAACCCAAGGATTCAAAAAGGAGCTCACAATTTAGCAGGGACATGGAGAAAGCAAGTCTGGGGCAGAGCTGAGGCAAAGGGAAAAATGGGGGGAATTGGCAAAATGCTGTGCTTTTGAGATTCTGCAGAGATACGGATGTGTTGGGTTTCCAGAGGACTTGGGACAACCTAGAAATGTCATGATCAGACTTAGAATTGTGCTGAGTCCTAATGGACTGTATGGTGTAATTTTAAAAAAAAGTATAAGAAGAGACACGAAATTGTTATACGATATTTTCTTTGTTCTATTAGAAGGTTCACATTCAGGTCGGGATGGGACGGCCAGGTTCGTCCCTGTCTGGCAAAAAGGAAAAGTTTCATATGCTGTTAAAAAGTTAACTATATAAACGTAGGAACCGGGGCTGAGGGAGTAAGAGAATGATTTGCAACAGAAAGGAAAAGACAAGGGGCCCAAAGAGGCACAACAAATAAATCCTGACAGGTAACAACTGCAACCCACGCGGCCTTCCGGCAGAAACACGGCGGGAAGCTGAGGGGCAAGGGACCGGCGATGGGCCAGGACTGAATCGAGGTCACCGAGCAGAGAGCAGAGCGAGCTGCCTCTGCTGAATGAGGCTCCGCGGTTCTGCAAGGAGGCCACAGCCGACGGGCACCGAGGACTAGCGGAAAAGCTACCAGCTGGGGCCGCGGTGGGCGGACCCGGCGTTTAAAGGTCAAGGTCAAGGTGGGATTTGCCCAGAGATGGAAAAGCGCTCTGAAAGGAGACCGAAGGCAGACAAAACAAAATCATCATTATTGTTATCGCTATCGTTATTAAGAAAAAAACGGTCTCCCAGACGGCTTCGGAGGGGACGCGGCCCTGGCAGGAGCGTGTGCAAAACAGGCCGCGGGGCCGGACCCGGGCAGAGAGCGGGCCACGACGCGGAGGGCGGGAGGGACTCAGACCCGGCCCAAGGCCACCGCCGCACTCACTTGCCCTCCTGGCAGTCATAGAGCACGATGGAGTCGTCGTCGCTGCTCGAGATGACCGTCTCGCCGTTGGGGCTGAAGTCGAAGCAGTTGATCTTGTCAGAGTTTTCGCGGAACACCTTGGCGACGCGGAAGCTTCGCAGCACGCTGTCGGTCAGCTTCATGGCGGCGGCTGCCTGAGGCGGCGGCGGCGGCGGCGCAGGGCCGGGGCGGGGCCCGGCGAACGGGCGGGCTGCCGAGGGGCCGACCGGGGCGGGGCGGGCGCCGCGCCGGCGGCGGACGGGAGAGCGGCCGACAGTCGGGACGCCTCCTCCTCTTTCTCCTCCTGCTTAAGCAACACTCTTCTGTCCGGACTGTGGGGCCTTGCCAATCGTTCCTCCTCACGGTCGCCTCAGGGCCAACCGGCGCGACGCCGGTTCATTGTGTCCGCCATCTTGGGACGACAGGCAGAAGCCGAAGGCGAGGACCCTCACCGCGGTGCCAGCCGGGAAAAGGGGCGGGGCGGGAACGGCGGCGCGAGGCGGGGAGGTGGAGCGGTGACGTCAGCGCGGCCGGCAGGGACTGGCGTGGCTGGGTGGCCCCAAGAGGCGATTCCCCGACTTGCTGCGGGGGCGGGAGGGGAGGGGACTCCCGCGTCCTTACCTCTTGGATTCCAAGGCCCTGGGTGACCCGGAGCCTCAGGCCTGTGTGCGAGCTCGCCACCGCTGAGAGACTCAGGCGCCCCCTGCAGGAGCCCCGGCCGCAGGCCCAGGGACAGCAGGTACTGTGGAGGTGGGCTACGCCCCAGGAGGCCTGTTCTGGGTGCGAGTCATCGCTGGAGGCTTTTGACCGGTGGTCCACAACAGACAGAGCCAGATTTCAATTTCTGTATTCCTTTATTAAGGTGTACTATACGTTAGATTGCATAAATTTCAAGTGGATGAATTTTCTTTTCATTGGGTTGTAGCTTCTTGTGACGACCACCCACAACTTTTCTTTAAGCCTTCTTTGAAAGCGTTGTAGGGCTTCCCTGGTGGCTCAGTAGTAAAGAATCTGTCTACTAGCGCCGGAGACACAAGTTCGATCCCTGGTTTGGGAGGATGTTACGTGCCACAGAGCGGCAGAGCTGGTCCTCCACAACTACTGAGCCTGTGCTCTAGAGCCTGGGAACCGTAGCTGTTGAGTCCCAACTACTCAGGCCTGAGTGCCCTAGAGCCTGTGCTCTGAAACAAGAGAAGCCACTGTGATGAGAAATTCCTGGACTGCAACTGAAGAGTGCTGTGCTTAGTCACTCAGTCGTGTCCATCTCCTTTCGACCCCATGGACTGTAGCCCTCCAGGCTCCTTTGTCCATGGGGATTCTCCAGGCAAGAATACTGTAGTGGGTTGCCATGCCCTTCTCCAGGGGATCTTTCCAACCCAGGGATTGAAGCAAGGTCTCCCACATGACAGGGATTCTCTACCGTCTGAGCCACCAAGGAAACCCAAGCCTGCTGCAGCTCAAGAAAAGCCTGTGCAGCAACGAAGACCCAGCATGGCCAAAAAATAAATTATTTTAAAACTTTTGTAGTTGATACTTAATATAATTAACTGCATAAAACGAACTAACTTTAAGTGTTCAGTTCCATACATTTTATAAACACCCATCTTTAAGTTTTAAAACATATTTATAGCTCCCAAAGTCCATAGCATTAATATCAAATAAATGTTTTAAAGGGAAAATTATCTCCTTCTCCAGCAAAACACAGTTTTAAATTCTCCTGATAGCCTCCTTACTCATATATCCACCTAAGCTATAGAAGCAGCCATTTCCTCTCCTGCTTTAGCTTTGTATCTTACACAATTTTCATGTTACTTAAACCAGTTTTTGTTGGTGTTCTCAATCGAGGTATAATTTATGTACTATAACAGCCTTTTTCATAGATAGTTCTTTGAATTTTGGAATCCATATACAGTATTTTACAGTTTGTACAACCACCACACTCAAGATATATTAATAAAATAGTTGCGTTACCCTCTTTGTAGTCAATGGAATTGTTGGGATGGTTTGTATAAGGCAGGTATCCTCAACCTCCAGAACATGGACTGGTACTCATGGACAGAGGAGCCTGGTGGGGCCTACAGTCCATAGGGTCACAAAGAGTCGGATACAACTGAAGCAACTTAGCACACATGCAGGGGTCTATTTATTTTGTTTCACTAAACTGAGGTGTCTAAAGAGGAAGGAAAGGGAAGATGGAAGACAAAACATGTCAGTCACTGATACTAGGAAGATGTGGTATCCAGAGAGCAGATAGAAGTTGGACAATGTTGAAGACAAAATAGAAACTCTGGGACAGTGGGGGTTTTCCGGAAAGAACCAGGGGCTGTGTCCAATCCCCAAGTAAACAAGAGAACCAGGATCCCGACCCATAAAGAGAAGTTATTCCCTGAGAGAAGAGGGCAAGATCCTGGTGAAGTCTGGGCTGCAATTGCCTTCTGACAAAGAACAGTTTCTGGCTACAATTTGTTCTGGGGTCTGGAAAAAAGGCTGTTTTAGAGGAACCCAAATGGATGGCAACTGTCCAAACTGCAAAGCAATGGAAGAAAAGCCGTCTGTGCCCCCAGAGTACACACTTCCCTGCAATGTCTGTTTTTTCATTTCACAGGCTAGGAAGACTAATGTTGAGTCTGCTTTGAATGCTTAGGCGGTGACAAAGACAGATCTGGGTGCCATGTCCTACAACTGTTGGGAAGTGAATATACCCAAGGAGATATATTTTTCAGGCCATGTAATCTACAAAAACAACCTCAGAAACAGCCATAACCTGCTGAATGTTGTACGGCAAAAGAAAGCTTTGCAGCACATCTTTCAAGTTGTGTACTTCCCATACCTTTCCCAGATTTCACTGTTGAAGACTGAAGCTTCCTCTCAAGACTTGATTTCCTGAATTATTTTTGGAGTGGAAGAAGTCTTTTTTTTTTCTTTTTCATATTTTAAAAGTGCCCTGAAACGGCTCAGCCTGTTTCACATTCTCACTGTCTCACATTCCTAGCCTGGCTCCCTGCCCTGTTACAGTGAGGCTCTCTTAGCTTCCAATCCTACAGTGCCTTACAGGCTGGACTTTAGAGAAAGGCTGGCTCCAGTGAGGTGTGGACAGAGGAGAAAACTGCAATCAGAAGTGAATCAGACTGCTTTAAAGCACATCAGACTTAATTTTTTAGTCTTCCTTTTCTTTTAACCATTATTTCATTTATTTACATACTTAGTGTCCATGCAAGCAAATGTACATCCATTGCAGAAAACTAAAAAATACAAAGATATACTTTAAAAAACAAAAAACAAACCATAATGTCCGGGAGTAGCTATACTATTACATTTGATTTGACGCAGAACTTTTCAGACATTTTTCCCCCATTAAAATATATTTTTAATGGGCTCATAATATAATATTATTAAAAACCTATCCTTTTCATAGATTACTATGGATATCTTTCAGATCAGTAAATGCAGAACTACACAATCATTTTGAATGACTCTCTACTATTCCATTATGCATTTGTAAAGTAATTTTGCTTCCCATGTTATCCAGAGCCCAGCCAGGGTCTGACTCAATATATATCATTAACTGAGTGAATTAATGTAGCCAAAGTATTTATTTATTTTTAATATTTTTAAAAATTTATTTGGCTGCATTGGATCTTAGTGCCAAACTTGACATCTTTCATTGTGGTGCACAGGCTCTTCATTTCCATTGTGCTCAGACTCTTTAGATGTGGCATGCAGGTTTAGTTACTCCTCAGTATGTGGGATCTTAGTTCCTTGACCAGGGATCGAACCCGTGTTCCCTACGCTGTAGGCAGACTTTTTTTTTTTTTGCAGGTGTACTCTTAACCACTGGACCACCAGGAACATCCCTCAAGATAATTAATTGGCCCATTAATTTTTTTCCATTTTCTGTGTCTTTAAAAAAGACTTTTTTTTTTTAAGAAAGTTGTAGGTTCACAGCAAAATGAAAAGGAAGGTACAGATATTCCTGTATACTCACTGACCCCACATATGCACACCCTATCTATTATCAATATTTCTCACAAGAATGGTACATTTGTTATAATGGCTGAACCTACACTGACACATCATAATCGCCATAAGTCCATTGTTTGCACTGTGGCTCACAATTGTTTTATACATTCTATGGGTTTGAACAAATGTATAATGACATGTATCCACTATTATGGTAACAGAGTAGTTTCTTGTTCCTAAAGAACCTTTGTGCTCTACCTCTTTATCCCCCACTCCCAAACCTTGGCAACCGCTGATCTTTTACTGTCTCCATAGTTTTACCTTCTCCAGAATGTCATTTAGTTGGAATCAAACAGTATATCTTAAAAATCGTTCTCATCCCAACACTTGAGAATCAATTGCTAGCTGGCAACATTATGTGTGGAGAAAGTAAAGGATGTCTAGCTGTAATAACAATTATCTTACACACATACACATTTATTTATACATATGATTTCACTTGAGCTTCATAACAACTCTATGAGAGGCAAAATGGAAGCGAAGCGAGGTATTCCAATAGCAAGTGGCAGAACCCGGACTTGCCTATAGATAACTGTGTATATGTGAAGCTGTTTCCAAACTCAAGTTTGGCTGCTCACTACTCAAAAGCCAATACTCGGACTTGCCTGGTGGCACAGTGGATAGGAATCCGGCTGCAAATACGGAGGACATGGGTTCGAACATTCGTCTGGGAGGATCCCACATGCAGCAGAGCAACAAAGCCTGTGCACCCCAGCCAGCGAAGAATATGCATCGTAGGCCCTAGAGCCGCATCTGTTTAGCCTATGTGCTGCAGCTGCTGCAGCCCGCACGCTGAGAGCCTATGCTCCGCAAAAAGAGAAGCACCATAATGAGAAGCCTGCCCACTGGAACGGGAGCAGCCTCTGTGCACAGCAACGTAGACCCAGTACAGCCGAAAAAAAAAAAAAAAAGCCAATACTCAAGAGACTAAACTTCGTTGGAAAGGGAAAGGTTCCTTTATTCAGGAGTCTGGCAACCTGAGGAGAAGGCAGACAAGTGTTTCAGAACCAACTCTGAAGATTCTGCTAGGCCATGAAAGTTTTTGAAATAATCTCAGTTCATCATTAAGGCAGGGGGTCAGATTCTCTGCCAGTTTCTGCTGTGTGCCGACTTGCTGACTCCC